TTTGTTTTAGGTAGCACTGCTTTCGAGAAGCCTCCTCCAGCTTCCCTTCCCTTCTGGCTCTTGTAAGCCAATTGTCTGTTGATTGGTCATCATGCTAAAAGCAGATCAAATACAGGTACTAAAAATGGGTTAGGATGCACAGGCTTATTCAAACCCCAAGTACATGGAGTTTCACTCATTTAAAGCCGCCCTTGGTCCACAGATCAAGGCTGCTTTTCTCACTGTTGCTGGTCTTCCCATTGGTCACCAGCTCCCAGGAGTTTCCGCTAGGAAACTGCCGTGACCCTTTGGCCACAGGAAAGCGGAGTTCAGACTCGAATGGGTCCAGCAAAGTCGGGAAACCTACCTAAGGGGGACGAAGGGAGAGAAGATGCCCCTACCCTCGAATTATTTCTACAGAAACCTTGAAGTCTCCTCGCTTCCTGTTCTTCCCCTCCCCCACCCCACATTCACCAAAATGATTCATAGATTCTCACCTAAAAGTGGTTATTTCTGAATTTTACACGACAGTAACTTCTAGAGAATGTATATTCACACACACATTTTGGGATACCTTTTCCTCAGAGTCTTTCAAATACTTCCAACTACATGAGTTGCTTCTTCTAGGTTCTTAAGACAACGTGAATTTTAAGCTTAGGTTATCTGTCCCTGCCCGAAGTGTCAGTGAGAACTGAGAGGAACCAGAAGTGAAAGGCCCTGGAACAGATGTGGGCTTTGAACCTCAGCAGGGCTGGAAACATTCCAAGAGCAGATGTCACAGTCCTTCCCCTCAAGACCTCCAAAAAAAAGCAACGTGAGAAATAAAGCAACTGTGCAGCCAAGGCCGAGCCCTCACACAACTCCAGGGGGCACCATTCATGGGAAAACAGTGTGAGTGGTCCCCTGGCGCTGTGCAGATACAGGCCTCTGAGAACAAGAATGCTTTTTTTCCACAATGTGTGTGTCGCCTGAGACACACACCACGGGGGGCTTCCTGGGAGAAGGGCTATTTCCTGTCCTGGGCATGGAAGCCGCTCCGTGAATCTAAGAGGATGTGGCTGTCGGTAAATATGACTTAATTCTGTTCCTCATCCACCCAGAGCCCTCCCTGAGGACCTCCCCTTGTACTTTGGAAACAGCCCAAACTTTGGAATGAGGAATTTTGAAGGCTGGTCCTGCTACTCGAGGGCTGCACAGCCCTGGCTAAGTTACTTGCCCTCCCTATGTCCGGGTTTCTCATCTGTCTGTCTGGTGAGTTAATAGTATCTAATACTTGGAGTTATCACACCCATTAAGAGAATTCTACTCTTCCCGGGAGACTCTGGGCCTTTGTGTGTGGTGTTAGTTAGGGAGGAACATGAGAATGGCCAAGGTTTGAGAATGGTTTGATTTACATGCGAAAGAACAGAGAGTTGCTAGAGAAGAAGGGAAAATCCACTGGAGAAAAGACGAGAAAAAGGAAAGGAGAAAAGAGCTAAAGTAGGCCAGTTTGGGGGAAAATCAGGGAGAGTGTGGAGGAAAGGAAGAGAGAGATTCATGGTTCATATACGTGAACTATATTTAGAGAGAGACAGTTGGGGGACAGTGAGTATTAAACTGTCCTTCAACATTTTTTAGAGATAACTCAGTTGAATAAGCAAATAGTTTTTATCACAGAGGTTGCTGAAAACCATTTCCTCCTTCGGCTTGTCCAAGAGTGAAATAAGGATGGAAACACCCAGAAGCCTATTAAATTAATGTCCCCTCCCTGGCTCCATTCTCACCCCCAGCTATAAACACCAGCAGGTCAAGGACTGTAACACACCATGACAGCTCGTGGGCATGGCTGCTGGCACAGGGAAGATGCCAATCTGGTGTGTCATTGAATGTATGGTCCTCTGTGCTGTTTCCAGTTTTCAAGCCCAAAGAAGGCCGAGAGAAAATTACAGCCTCCTTTGATTTCATTGTCATGGGCCATGGGGTCCCATGAGGTGTGATGTGGAGCTGACCACTCTCTGGGAACCTCAGAGATGAGCCATAAACCTTCTAGAAACATCTGTACAGAGCTCATTTATGTCATTCAAAGCTTCCTGAATTCAAAAGAAACCACATAAAAAGTCAGCAAAACCACTTGTGCATTTTAAGACATTTCCTGATCTCTTATACTAGCAATAATAAAATGGAAAAAAGACCCTTTGGAGCAAAGGAAATGTTTTTGTTTGTACCTGTGGGCAGGTGGTATTCTGCATCGTGAACTGATGGGTTTTTAACATTTGATGCAAGCATCTGAACACACATATTATTAAAACGTCTTCTTTTTCTCTGTCCTATAATAGTTACTTGTTTTAGTGGTCCCCAAAGTGAAACGGGGTGGTTTTATATAGGGTTTATATTTGGAAATAGAGTCAGAGGGATTCATGAAGGCTGGATCAGTGGTGATGTTATTTTTTAGTTTTAGAGACAATTCCCATCAGATTTCTTTGTGTGATTTTTGTGTATCCTCATAAACCTGAGAGCCAAATAAAGGAGAAAATCAGTAAACTTTGCTTTCCTCTTGCTATCCAACTTCTCACGCCCATTTCATGTTTCCTTTGCCACAGAACGTTTTAATTCACTTAAGCTCCACCCCCACGTGCAGCGGACAGAACTAATTGTATCATCCCTTTATTTCCATCAGGAGCAAATAAAGCAAATAAAGCAAACCACTTGCCCATGAAACTGAAATGCTCCTGATGGGGTTGCAGATGCATTCAGATTAATGAAACCCTCCACTCACAGATCCTTGCACATGACGGAGACAGAAGGACAGGAAACCTGACATACATTCGCCAGCTCAACAGAGCGCAAAGCACCTATTCCCACAGTCTTAAAGATTTACTCCAGGACAAGCTGCAAGTACAAACATTCACCAAAATTCCTCCCACCCTCACTCTATTCTCAGGAGAAAATGGGCTCTTGTAAATGTGTACCCATGGCACCTAGAGATATTTTCAAAGGAAATAGCCAGAACTGGCATTCCCACCTATATTGCAGGGGCAACTTCCACACCACTTAAAAGAAATAATGGTATTTTTTTCCTGGATAGAAAAGAATGCTACTGTATAAAGTTGTTTTGCTTTGTTTTGTTTTTGGTCGCACCACACAGCTTGCATTGCTTGTGGGATCTTAGTTCCCCAACCAGGGATCAAACCCGTGCCCCCTGCAATGGAAGCACAGAGTCCTAACCACTGGACCACCAGAGAATTCCCTAGAAAGTTTAAAAACACAAAAAAGCGGTGAGAAAAAATAAAATCACAGAATCCTAAAATTTTTGATGTAAATCTTTCTAGGCTTCTTCTATGCATGTTTTTTTTTTTGTTTTGTTTTTTGTTTTGTTTTGTTTTTTGCGGTACGCGGGCCTGTCACTGTTGTGGCCTCTCCCGTTGAGGAGCACAGGCTCCGGACACGCAGGCTCAGCGGCCATGGCTCACGGGCCCAGCCGCTCTGCGGCATGTGGGATCTTCCCGGACCAGGGCACAAACCCATGTCCCCTGCATCAGCAGGCGGACTCTCAACCACTGAGCCACCAGGGAAGCCCCCCCATACATGTTTTTGATTACGGAAATATATATGATGAAAAAGAAAACAATTCTACATTTGCTTGATAAATTGAAACTTTAAATTAACTATGTAACATGCATATGTTCCCACTTCATTAAATATTATTTCATATCAGCACTTGAAATGGCTATATAATGTTGTATCACAGTGTGGTGCTATGATTTATTTAACCAATTTAATTCCAATTGCTGGACATTAATCCCAATTTTCTGCTATTAAAATCAGTACTTCATGAAGTGTCTTTGTGTACAGATCTTGGCAAACCTCAGCAATAAATTCTTTGGCATAAATTGGGGATGTTGAAATGCCGGGTTACAAAGCATGTCCATTTTAAACATCAATTTTCAGTCTTCCTAATCTAGCTAGCCAACACTGCAGATTATCTTAACAAAAATAGTTTGCCAATTTGATAAAAGAAAAATGTTACCTCAGTGTGGTTTTCCTATGAATTTCTACGATTGCTAATGAGGTTAAAGGTTTTCTTTCTTCTGTTTATTAACCATTTATATTTTTCTTTTTGTTTTGAGTATTTATATCCTTTCCCTAACTAAAAAATGTTTGTCTTTTTCTTACTGACATAGAAGACCTCTTCCAATATTAAAGATAGTAACCTTTTGTTAATATACTGACAAGTTTTTCCTGGCTTTCCATTTGCCTTACTTGTATTTATGATTTTTTTTTAATGTACAGAAGTGTTTCATCTTTATGCAGCAGAAACAATCAGTCTTCTCTTTTATGTTTTCTGACTTTGGCTATATAGGTTTAGAAAAGCTTTCTCTAAGTCACACAGACTTTTGTCAAAAAATCATAATCATGCCCTGCCTTGTGATAGCTTTTACATTGTTGGGCAAAAGGTATAAATAGTAACCGAAGGCTGGGACCAGCTCTTATGCTTACTTCCCCCTTAAATGTCCTGTATTTAGTAGATCACAATCCATTCACCAAAAACATGTTTTAATTGAGCACCTACTACATTCCAGGATTATTAAATATAGATGAGACAGACACTGGACACAACTGCTTCTTCATGAATTCCACCAGCACACATTGCATAATTAACACATGTGAACAGTGCAAAGACCAGGGCAGAAAAGCAACAGTGATGAATCCAAAAAAAGTCCCTCTCCCCTGAGAAATTTATAGTTCAGTATACCCTGGAGGAATTAAAGAGAGGTAAGATTTAAAAGAGACAGATGAATAACTGAAATACAAGGAAGAAAGTATAAGTACCTTGTGAGATGGGGAAAAACTCAGTGTTCACACAGTGGAAGTCAGGGAGGGTCTGTGGAGAAAGTACCATTTGAAGCGAGCCTTATAGGTTGAGATGAAGGAGACATCATTCTTTTCTTCCTGCCCTCAGAGAGAAGAGGAAGCAGGCACATTAGACTCAATTTCCCTCCGCAGTATTAACAACAAAAGAAAAAGGGGGCGGGGGAGGAAATTCCCTGATGGTCCAGTGGTTAGGACCCCGCGCTTTCACTGCAGAGGGCCCAGGTTCAACCCCTAGTCAGGGAACTAAGATTCCACAAGCTGCGTGGCGTGGCCCCCCAAAACTAAAAATAAATAAAAAATAAAATGTTAACCAGCCAAATATGCCTGTTATCAACCCACAAAGCCTAGAGGAGGGGCTCAGTGAGGGGCTTAGGAAAAAGAGTTAGCATTTCTTTATACTCTTTTGCATTTACATTATGCTTATGGAATTTTTTGGTGTATGGTTTTCTTTCTTATGTAGTTAAATTTTCTTGAACAGTGTGGCAGATTATACTTCCCAAGGATGGCCGCACCAATGTATATCCCATTATATATGCTCCTCTTAGAGTGTGACCCTAACAGGCTTCATGGAAAGGTGGAGTCTGTGTTCCCTGCCTCTGTACTTGGGTGGACCTTCCTAACTGCCTCAGCCAGTAGAATGTGGCAGAAGTGCTGCTGCATGACGCCCAAGGCTAAATCCTAGATGCACTCCTAGCTGGCTCTCCTCTCTCTTGGGACACTTGGTCTCTGAACCCAGCCACCACATTATGAGGAAGTGCAGGCCACATGGAGAGGCTGGATGTGAGTGTTCTCACCAACAGCCCCAGCTAGATTCCTGGTCAAAACCCAGATGAGTGAATGAGGAGTCGAGGCTCCTGCTGTGATTTACATCTTGAGATGTTTACTGTGCCTTCTAGAGACTTGATGGAGGTGAGGACTACAGGCCAGGAGTGGAAGCAGGGAGACCAGTTAGGAGGCTATAGCAATAATCCAGGACAGAGAAGATGCAGTTTGGGTTTGGGTTATACCAGTAGAGTAGGTGAGAAGTAATCCTATCTGGGAAATGTTTTGAAAGTACAGCTGATGGGATTTGCTGATGGATCGGATGCGAGTTGGGAGAGAAAGAGAAGAGTCACTGACTAGGTCTAGATTTTGAGTCTGAGCAATTGGGCTTCAGTGTCATTTATTGAGATGAGGACACCTGAGGGAAGGGCAGCTTTGCAGGGCAGGGTAGGTCAATAGTTGGATCTGGGGCATGTTCTATGAGAAGCCTGTTTGACATCCAAGTGAAAAAGCTAAATCAACAGTGGGATATGTGAGTCTAGAGCTCAGAGAGAGGCCCTAAGCTGGAGATAGAAACTTGGGAGTCATTGGCATATAGATGGTGTTCCAGATAGTACTGCTATATAAGAAATGACCCCAAAACTTAGCTTAAAACAGCTATTTCATTTACCCACCAATTTGTGGATTCGAAATTCAGGGCAGCGCACAGCAGGAGTGTTTAGTTTCTACTCCACAAATTTTGGGTCTGAGCTTGGAAGACTCAAGGGTTCGAAGCAACATGATGACTGGGGCTGGAATCACCAGGAAGTGTCTTCACTCACAAATCTGGCAGTTGAGGCTGGCTATTTCACTGGGACCTCAGCAGGGGCTGTCAACTGGAACACTTAGAGTGGCTTCTCCATGTGGTTTGGGTTTCCCTGGGGTAGCTGGACTACTTACATGGCAGCTCAGGGCTCCAAAAGTGAGTGTACCAGTGAACAAGGTGGAAGCTGCACTGTCTTTCCTAACTTAGCCTTGGAAGTCATGCAGCATCGTTTCCACCTCATCCTCTGGGCTACCAGAGAGCTAGAGCTTGCCAAGACTCAAGGTGGGATGGGGAGGGTGGTGGATATAGATCCCTTCTCTCCATGGAACGAGTGTGAAGACCACGTTGTGGAAGAGCATATGGGATGGAGATATTGTTGTGGCCAAACTCTGGAAAACACAATCTGCTACAGATGGTATTGATTCAGGGCCTCGAAATTGGATGACATCACTTAGGAACTGAGTGCAGACAGAGAGAAGAGGTCCCGGAATGAACCCTAGGCCTCAACATTTAGAGATGGGAGGAGGAGCCAGTGGGCAGAAGCAAGCCTAGAGCAAATGCTGTTTCTTGCAGGGCTGCCACTTTCTGCTGAAACTCCTTAGGGAATGGGGTCGGAACATGTTCTTGCATCAGCTGCAAGCCAGGGCCAGAACCGGCCCTCCCCCACTGGGCACTGCCTGGAGGCTCAGCTGAGCACAACTCCTCAGGCCCCCCAAGACGATCAGGTAGTCAGTAACTCTGGGTCCTGCAGGTGCTCAGTCTTCCGTAACACAAGGCAAGGTAGAGAGGGTGGTGGACTTAGACCCCTCCCCTGTAAGGAGGGGAACCCCCCAACCCTAGCCAACCCACCCTTTTAGAAAAAACCATTTTTGTCTCTTCTTCAAGAGCTGAAGTGTCCTCCAATTTACCCAACTCCAAAGAAAATTTAACATCCATACAGTAGCATCTGGATTGAGATTCATTTGACTTCAGTTTTCTCTAAGAATTAGTGGGTGAAGCTTGTCTTACATCTTGGAGAACTACCTAAACTAACAGTCCACCTCCAGGGAACTAAACTGCCAGAAGTTCCCTAAATGGCAGGTCCCAGGAGATAATACAAAAGAATTAAGTTCCTCTTGACAAAGACCCTGCTATAATAGTTAAACGGTCCATGTGTTGGAGTTGGAAATTCTGTTATTATATAAATGTCTTGCTGAAATGGGTCTGACCTCTACAGAGATTTAAAAAGAATGAGGCACGTTCCTTTAACGTTATTTTTGCTCATGCAAACGATGCCCTATTACACCCAGTAATGCTTAACAGTACTAAGTTAAAAGCAAATACATAGCAATTTGGACCACTCCAGGGTCGCTCTCACTGTTTTGTGGTTTTATGTAATTCGAATATTGTATACAAGAAGACTTGACCTGGAGCAGGCAGCAAGAAATATGTAATTAGAAACACTTCCCAAGGAAATTATAGTGACAAGTGAAGGCTTGAGGATTTCCGCGGGAGCCTGGAGCTGCAGATATTCATTATAGGTACTTGGGAGGCTCAGCTGCCCTGCTGAAAACCGTGTCTAATTGCTGTGCGGCTGGATGCAGGCATGGAGGACAGCCCAGAGCCAGGAATTGTGTCTATGGCAACCCGACGCTCCATTTTTAAACTTTTCATTGCACAAGAAGAAATTGCCAAGGCTTTTTTTTTTTTTCTCTCTTTTTCTTCCTCCCCATTTCAGAGTTTGTACCAGCAGGGATTACCCTCCAAGTCTAACATTTCCTGGTAGCTAATGCTAGCTGGGTTAAGGGCCGTTTGCTTTACCTCTGGCGTTAGCAGCTCCAGCCGGTCATTAATTACTGCACCAGGAAGCATTTTCCAACAAATTATTGTTTAATCAAAACAAAAGAAAATGAATGCTTGTTGCTGTCAACAATTATCAACTCTCCCTAAGAGTCTAAAGGGGAATACTGGAAGTTTTACACTTATGGAGAAGTGTCCCTCTGGGACGGAGGGTCAGTTAAGAAGGCCTTTGTCTAGATACAGTGAAGTTGCCTAAAGTACAGTTGAGAATGCTTCACTGTGGGCGGAGAGGAAGCTGACCCCCAGGCAGGAAGACCCAGGAAGCTTATACACGCACTGGCCTGGGTCCCCAGTCATTCTGCTTTGTTAGTGTCCATATGACCTTGCTATTAGGCTAAATGCCCCAAATGCTTCTATGAGAATGTCTGAGGGGAAAGATTGCTTTCTGGAGCAGTGAATAAGTGAAATCCACCTGCACAATAACAGCCACACTTCCTGAGTGCAGACAGCATGCCCTGCGGCTTACAAACACGAGTTAGTGACCCTCATAATTCCCCTCCATCCCTAGTACATCATTATCCCCGTTTCACAGATGGGAAGACTAAGACTCAGACAGATTAACCTGGCCAAGATCCACAACAGCCTGATAAACAGCAGAGCCCACACTTGATTCGTAGTCTTTCCATCAGCACCTTCCCTCTTTATTTGCTTTTAAATTTTTATTTGCACTAAAATACACATAACGTAAAATCTACCATCTTCACCATTTTTAACTGCAGTACAGTGGCATTACGTGCATTCACACTGTTGTGCAGCATCACCATCATCCATCTCTAGAACTCTCTTCATCTTGCAAAACTGAAACTCTGTCCCCATTCAACAATAACTCCCCATCCCCCCTCTCCCCAGCCCCTGGCAACCACCATTCCACTTTCTGTCTCTGAATTTGACTTCTCTAGAGAGTGGAATCAGACAGTATCTGTCTTTTTGTGACTGGCTTATTTCACTTAGCATGATGTCTTCAAGTTTCATCCATGTTGTAGCATGTGCCAGAACTTCCTTCCTTTCTAAGGCTGAATAATATTCCATTGTATGTATGTAACACAATTTTTTTGTCCCTGCACCCATGGAAGGACACTTGGGTTGCCTCCACCTTTCGGCTATTGTGAATATGCTGCTGTGTTTAACTCCTAACCACTAAGATACATAGAGACTTGGAGAATGAGTCTTAAAGGAAGGCGCACCGCCATGGGCTGCCTGACACGCCCCAACCTGAGCAGATCAGCCAAGTACCATGTGGTCCATCACCCACTGGAGAAGGCACCACCTCACTGGCAGGGGAAAGCGATGCACAAGGCCAAAACATCCCACAGGTTGGCCAATTGGAGAGCCACAGCTCCATGCTGGCACACCCAATGCCAGTGTGTTTCCCTGAGCCTTAGATTCTGGGGAAAACAAGTTTCTTCAAATCCAAACTGCTTGGTCCAGACTTGACTGCAGGATTCCCCACCTGGACGGAGCGTGCCCTGGGACTGCACTGGCGCACCCGCCAACCCCTGCCGACTTCTCCACTCGGTGGTTCTGAGGGCAGCTAGGGGTGAGCTGTGTTCCCTCCTGGGGTTACCACCCTAAGCCTTTTGGAAATGTGAGGAACATTTCTGGTTGTCATAACGATCTGTCTGGGGGACACTACTGACATTTAACATGTGGAGCCAGGGACAAGAGGCGCCCTGCCATGTGTGAGGCAGTCACCCACAACAAAGAATTGTCCTGCATCTTGAATCACTTCCAAACGTCTCATTAAAACGTATCTTGTAAGCAAAAAGCCTCATTATAATCATCTGGGCCTAAAACCTAATTACGTTTTGCAAATGAACACAAAGTAATTCTGCATGGT